CATGGTCCATTGACAAGCAACGGCTGCTGTCGTGTTGCAAACAGCAGCGATTATGTTCAACAGCTCTCGTGGATTACTTATTTAAAAACCAAGTCACGCATTCAGCAGAGCCCCGACACGTCGGCGCTCGCGTGGTGCACGGCCTTCCATTGCTGATTGGCACAGCCTGGAATATCTCTGCAGGTCTCGTGTTTAAGTCATGTGAAGGAAGCTGCCTAGGCTTTGTATCCTGCAAGCTGTGTGCATTATTCTTGAGCCTCCAGGAAATGCATGACTAATGAGTAACTGGCACGCGCAGCATGAGCATCGGCTGTATCATCAAACATACGCAGAGATGTGCACAAATTGCGTGGACAAGCGCGCCGAACGCGCACTGCGGCCCCTGCGTTACCATCTTCTTGGGGCGGCCACTTCTTCCAGCACCATCAAAGGCCTGGACCCCGACGGCAGAACATCCCGTAGGTCATAGATACCTAAGGCGTGTGGCGGTTGGCCTGCACATAGGAGCTTCGGCAGCGTTTCGTCATGGGAATTATGGCGTGGCGCACAACCTCACAGATTGGGCATCAGGGATCTCTCACATGAGGAATACTTTTAGATGAAGTTAAGCGGCATCACTGGTGGTGTGCACAGTTGCTTTGTAGTGTGGCATGACGTCCTTCAACACTCCTTAGCTCCGCAACGGTCGTGTGTTTCCAAGCTTTGCAGGAAGTGTCACAATCAAGTTTGTTGGTTGCCGGGAATCTGTAGAAGTGAAGTAACTCCTTCAGGGTGATGCCGCGACTAGCAATCTCAGTGACCTTCACATTCCAGGCCGTCGACGTCCTGCTGAGCTCTCCTGGCAAAGGAAGTCTGCAACACCGGGTTGCTCACGGCCAATTTTGCAACAGCGAAACACAACAAATCATGCTTACTAATAGTAATAATTACTAATAGTAATAGCATTAATATCAGTAATAGTAATAATAGCAATACCGGCAATAATAATAATGATAGTAATAAG